TCCAAACTTAGGAAAGCTACACATCACAATGCACTTTAACAACTGCCACATTAGAGAAAACTTATTCTAGTGGCACCCAGAAACATATCTATCTGTGTTTACACCAGTACACAATGTCAGCATTTCAAAATAACAACCCGTACCAAAGTGCTCTGAAATTGATTTTGATCCTTGGATTGGCCTAACAATGATACCAAGGTATCACTTGCTCATGGAAACATTTTCTTAAATGCTCTTTCTTGATTGCAAAGGAAAAAAGAAAAACAATTACATTTGAAAGATATTAAATCAAAATGATTTTTAATCATTTTAATAAATATATATCAAGAAAAACCTCACTTTACTACAACACCACCTTAGTATACAAGTACCTAAATATCTAAGCTTAAAACATCAGATGTCTGAGATATACTGGGGGAAAAAACATTTGAGTCTATTCTCAACTGAATATAACATAAGAAAATCAGTTTTTTAAAAAATTGGTCCTTGTGGACAAATGATTAAATGATCCTACTCATACACTGTATGAATGAGATCTATATTTAATATTGATAGCAACAATTAAAAATGTTTTTGTCTTGGAGAAATAAGGTAGGATAATTTTTAATTAGATGGGTCTAACATTGATAAACCTCACAAATGTCTTAAATTTGGCCTCAGGTTATCTTTAATTCTCTGTAGAACATATGCATTTTTATGCATGCTAGGAATGTGGAGATAACCTGTTATAAATATATCAGAGGCAAACAACAAGTTTTTAAGGATGAGAACAGCATGAATTGGTTTAGGTCTGCTTTTGAATTTCAAGTATATCTATTGCTTGCACAATTTAAAAATAGCTGTAGACCTGGGTCAATGCATTGGAACCCAAAAGTTTGGCCTGGCACTGTGTCAAGAACCCATTGGGACTGTGCATGCCCTCCTCTTTTGGCACACTCTCCTCAGCCACTGCCATGTAATTCGTTAATTCTTGTTTTGAGGCAAACCACAGTATACTTTGTGCTTTCCCTGCAAATCTGGATTACAAAACATGATGTGTTTCCAGTTTTGCAGTCCTTGTTTGGTTCACTGACTTGGGTGTAATGGCAAAGCTACAGTAAATAACTAATTAGACCTGAATGCATGAGAAGAGGAAGCAGGAGGAGAGGGTATACATGGTGAAAATCCTTGGGTCTGCATCACAGTGGAGGGAGAAGAAGAATTTTGAAGCTGCACATTTAAATCTGGGGTGGATACTGCAGGTTTCCTCGGGAGGAAAAGAAGGAGAAGGCATGTTCTTCACTGCAGAATTGCCTACGAGTGCCACAGGCAAGGAGACCACAAAGTCACACTCTATTGCATTCCATGTTTACTCACAGCTGAGAAACTTTTAAGAGCAAATGGATTGCATTAATGCTGTCCCATTCCACTACTGAAATAGTAGTAGGGAAAATACAGATTATTTGCCAGATTCCTGGAGCTTAATTTCACCAAGGATTCAACAGTGCTAAACCAAGTGTCCTACTTTGGAAAAAGCAAATTACAGACAATGACTGATAAAAGCACTGTTGAGTTAGTGCAGAGTGCCTTTCCCTCACTGGTGAGTGTGCACAACTGGTCCCCATATTTCTGCAATCGGGATGAAAGGTTAGTTCACATGTAATGCCAAACCAAAACCATAATTAGAGGTAATATGATTGGGCTTTTGGCTCACACACACTCCATACTCCTCTTATTTTCTCTTTGATGTTCATCAAGTTAATTTGTGGATGCTTCTGCATGCAGCATTTGCTCCACCCCAGCATCCACACAATGTTGTCTTCCAACCATTCTCCTTCCATGGTTTCCCTGGTTTGCTCAGATATTTCTGGGACCTGCTTTGCTCTGATCTTTCCAGAAACATGGAAGTTAAACAAGGTTTGCCCTCACGGTGCAGAGAAAGGTACAGATTTCCAAACCTTGTCACTCACATCTGGTACCATCTACCCTCCATGTCAATTCTGTGTGCCCACCATATCACCTCATTCCCACATTCCCCCACACACACCTGACAGACTTTGATGGCTTAAAAAAATAGTAGTAGATACGTCAATATAGCACAATGCTGTAGTGATATACCTACCACCTCTCCCCGCAAAACCACTTTGGCAGCAAGGAGGAAGATGGGGAGGCATAAATAAGAGAAGGGGGGCTGTGGCTCAGTAGCAGAACATCTGATTTTAATGTAGAAAGTCCCAGCTTCAATTCCCAGCATCTCCAGCTAAAAGGGTGATGGGAAAGGCCTCTACCTGAGATCCTGCTGCCAGTCACGGGAGAAAATAATGGCACTGATGGACCAATGGTTTGATTCAGTATAAGACAGCTTTGTGTGAGAGGGAAGACCATCCCCGTGGGGGTGCTCAGTTGCCTCTGCAAGCACCTCTGCATTTGCAGTGGCAATAAGAGCACAATGGGAAATAGCCCCGTGTGGAAGCAGCTTGTGTTCAATGCAAACCATGATTTGCTATTACATCCATATGAGCAAACTGCAGTTTGCACCAGTGTTCCCTCTAAGCTGAATTAGTGTGAGCTAGCTCACAGCTTTTTAGTCTCTGGCTCACACATTTTTGTCTTAGCTCAGGAAGGCTGTCTCCAGAGCCAGTTAATTTATGCAATCGCCAAATTGCTGGCTCACAACTTGAATGTCAGTAACTCACAAAGTAGAATTTTTGCTCACAAGATTCCACAGCTTAGAGGGAACATTGGTTTGCACATGCTTACCAACTCAAACTGTGGTCTGAAACTAGTTTGCACTCCTAATTAGAAGCCAAGTTCAAACAATGGTTTACTGATCTGAAGGTGAATTAAAACTATGTTTCTGTACTAAACAAAAGCAACCAGTTGAATTGGAACGCATGCAATAGGAGAAAGGAGGAAAGAGAGAGGGTATGTGCCCAAGACTGCGTCATACAATCTCAAATTATGGTTTTGCATTGTATGTGAACTGACTCAGGTTTCCAGACATAAGTGCTTTTCATTTTAGAAGTTGAATTTCGTTCATCCCACAGATAAAACCATCAAAACGAATGCAAGAACAGCGTTGCTACATTTTGGGGTCTCTCTGACTTTCATTGATAACTTGGGTGGGTTCTACACAGGGGTAGGAAAATCCATCCCCACTATGAAAGCAGGGGTGAGCAAGTAAAGACACACGGGGATGGCATTCACAACCACTTGTCTTCGTGCCACTTGCTGCTGGTGCCAGGGCCGGCTCACCCACTAGGCGAACTAGGCATTCGCCTAGAGCGCCGGGCCCTGGATGGGGTGCCAAGCTGTGCCTCCCCCCTCCTCCCCCCCTTTGGTGGCAGCGGGGGGGAGGAGGCAGTGGTGGCAGCAGCAAAAGGATGGCTGGCTCCAGAGGGCTCCAGGTCTCCAGGCCCCACCGGGAGGTTGGCATCTGCATCATAAGGCAGCCTCGCCTAGGGCACAGAAACACCTCGAGCTGGCCCTGGCTGGTGCCACCCTCCCCCCCCCAATGCCTTCTTCCTTGTAACATCAGTACAAAAGTACCAACTTGGTGAGAATCTTGTTGGGCCCCTCACAGCCCAGCAACCCCCTCTCCTCCCAATGGCTGAGCTCTGTTCAAGCTGGTGTGTTAGAAAAACCTGTTAAAAGTCTAAAGAAGTTGGGGAAATGGTGGCGCTAAGCTTCATTCCCTCTATGGATTGGCTGCCCGCAGAGTTTCACACAGAGGCTCTGTCTGCAGCCAGCACACCATTTCCCCTCTAAGTGAAGCAAAGGGGTTTTTTTCCCCTCTGGCTTAAAAGGGAAAGCCCTGGGAACCCCCATGAGCCATGCTTGGAAAGAGCACAATGTAAAAAGTGGGGGCATGTGGAAATCCCCATGAAGGGGCATCCCTGTAGAGGGAGAATAACTTGCCAGTGAGGAATGGGATTTGAAGGCAACTATATTTGAGGGATTCATGTGTCCATTGCAAAAGAAAAAAAAATACAAAGGGGATGGCTAGGCTTTGAAAATCAACAGCAAAGATTTAAAGACTTAATGTGCGCTATTGATAACTTATGGGTCTGCGGTGACAAGGAAAGAGGAAGTTTTTAATTCACTCTGAACAAAAATAAGGCCATGATCCAGTCCAACCTCAGCACTTTTAAATCATAGTGATTTCGATGGGACAGATTGTATTGTGTGCTGAACCTCCTGTTGCTATCTGGAGAACTTCAGAGTGCTTCACTTTTAGCTGGATCATGCGGATATGTTCATTTTCAAATGGAGACACTGGCACCAACCAAATTTTGTTTCTGACAAGTGAAGATTATGCCCCCTGTTTCTCCAAGATAATCTTTTTTAAAAGGATGAAAACCTTTACATTCATTTCAGATAAAAATCTTATCACCACATCATTTATTAACATTGTGTTTCCCCCCCAAATAAAAAACCCCCAACATTATATGAAACCCCAGTACATGCTCTTTACAATTTTAAAGAGAGAAATGATGTAAAGCAGAATAAAGTATAAAGCATGCCACTGGTTCATGAACTTCATTATACCAGAAAGAAAAAAAGGAAAATCACAGCAACAGACAGTTGCCATAGAAATATTCAAGCAGCTAATGCTTGTTTACAGGAGACATCTCTCTATTGTTTCTTCTTCAATCCCTTCTAAAGGATGGCAAATCAAAAAGCAATCGAGCAAAAGGAAGAACAGAGGCATTTGAATAGGAAATCAAACTCAGTATTTCAAAGGATACAGGTTTCTAATAATATTTGAACCACCCTGTTATTATTATTTTTTTCCTGTTTAGGTTACATCCCTGCTGTAGCACTGTTTTTTAAACTTAATTTTCACCCTGGAAAATGTAAGATAAAAAGTAAGGCACCAAAGAAACTCCGCCCTGTATAGCAATAAACTACCGTGAGGCTTGTTCGTTCATTCTTGCAACTTTGCTGAAAAAACTCTACATGTGCTGTAGCTGCACATGGTATTTCTGATTATGATTCCATACAAAGATGTTTATTGCACCCTACTTGGCTGGCTGAACCAGACACTTAAAAATTGGAATAGTTTTAATGCTCGCTCATTACATAGGCTTATTCTTCTTCAATGACATCCGGACTTACTGACAGCAATTATTGTTGGGCAAGACAGACCACCCCCCTCCCTCCTTTGCTGGTTATAAAACATATAATCCACTGATAAGCATAAAGGAGATTCTTCTTAATTCATGTTGGCCTCCCCTGGGGGGGGGAGGGTCATGTTTCCTCCGTCTGGTTGATTGGTTCTTTCAGCAACAAAAGTTAAAATCTGTTCGTACATTGCCATTCAACTGTGCTCTTGATGAAGACTCCTTATATTTATAAATAGCTCTGTGATGCAGACCATACATACGCTTTGATGCAATCTGCTAACCAGTCGTTAAAAACTATCCATGAATACATGATTGTATTGGTAGTATAAAACTGTAAGAAAAATCCATCCAGAATGAAATGGTGTTTGATAAACTGAACATGTTGTGCATGCTTCAGAACTGCAGTCATTGGGAATGTGCTTCATATTTTACTTCCTTTACTGCAACATATTTTGCCCCCTGGTAAGCATTCCCTTTTTCGTAAGGATTTCTTCCAAGATTCATTCACGTTGCTCCTATCACCACGCCCTGTCTCAAAATAATCATAATATTTACTTTTACATTCAGCGCCCTGATCACCTTTCATCGGTTCCCAGTCTGTAGCCCGTTCTCGTTCCAGTTCATCGCCTACTTTCTCATTGCTCGATACTGCCTTAACATGTGGCCCAGCACTAGTAATGAAAATTTCATTGGCATGTATCTGATCGTCACTCCGGTAAGCAGGGGCACCGCTTACACCATATTCCACTTGCTGGGAACAGCTTGGCAAAGATACAGAAGAAGAGGAGGAAGAGGGGGAGGAAGAGGAATTTCCCACTGTGGAATTTGTAGACAATGGTAAACTTAAATAGTGGTTGCTACATTCTTGATAAAGGCAGCAGGTGTGGATCTTTTCACAGTCCTCCCTTGCCATCCGAAGGCGTTTCCTGTAAGGACAGTCATGAGACACAAACCATTCTTGGGCTGAGGCTCCACCAAAAGAGCAAGTGGGAAAACACCAGTTGTTTTGCATGATAATTTCCCCATGAATTCTCTTCATTAAATTGTTTATCAGAACCGATCGCCTTAGGTAGACTTCAGGGTCATCAATGTATTTTAGTTTTTCCAAAGACATGTAAAGGATATGTGCCCGCTCCTCAAAGACAGAGATTGTCTGCAAAAAAGGGGGAGAGACAACAGCAAAAACAAAGATGAGCAAGGTGGGAGTTAGCTGAAAGATACCATTGGCAATCACTTTTAACATTTCAGGCAACCTATTAACTATTCGGTTCCTCCAATCCCATCAAATAGCTGGGTGGTTTACTGGCTCATGTGCAGGGTTTTCTCCATCAGAAGTCAGAGTCTGGAGGAAACCGGTGCTGTATTTTTTCTATGGCTAGTATAGCTGCATGGAGTATTTTTGAGCCAAACTGTGTCATTGTGTAGAACAGTATTTGTAGAATAAACTAAGAGTGCTGTACTTTTAGGGGTACAGAAACTCATCAAACAGTACTTCTTCGGAGACTTTCAGGAATATAAGGTTGCGATCACATGCGCCAGATGATCCGACATAGGTGCGAATGCCCAACGAATCAAAAGGGCGCGATCAGACAGCAACATCTGGGAAGTGTCCCGCAGCCGTCAGCAACCTGCACTGCTCCGCCACAGAAGCAAAGTACAAAAAACACCGGAGAAAATCCAGTAGTAAACGGGTTGCACCGGGCCACGGATGGACTTTCCCCTGTCTGATCATGCACGCACACTTCTGAGCCGTTGGGATGGTCTGATCAGGCCATCCCAACTCGGTGCTGGTTTCCCCCCCCTTTTCACAGTATGCGCATTATCGCATACCCATAGGGGGCTCTCGGTGCGGAGGTCTAATTCCCTGTTTATGTGCATGGGAAACAAACGGCAAAAAACCCCAACTCACTTGCAGTTGCATCTGATCACACAGTGACAGGCTGAGACTGCAGAAACAAAGGGCTGTGTGATCTCACGACCGCAGCTCAAATTCCTCCAGAGGGAATAGCCTTGCTTTCCCTCTACTTCAAGTGGCATGTGTGACCACAGCCCAAATGAACTGAGGCAATGTTTTTAAAAAATTGAGAATTCACTCACTGCTGAAAAATCCAGGTCTAGATCATTTCCTTAGCAGCCTAGCTAGCTGGAGGTCACAGGCTTTCTCAGGGATCCATAGGTTTCTATATATTCCTACCACAGGGCAGGCTCACTGTTTCTAAAAGGGCTTCTGAAGAAATATTATTTGTTCTTTACTCATTATATTTTCATCCTGCCTTTCTTCAGTTATGGAATTGTAGGTGGTTTACATAAGATACCAAGAGGTGTCCCATCCAGGTACAGATCACCCATAATGTAGGGCTGCCATCCTGCAGGTGGAGTCAAGCAACAAATATATATACTGCAAAAACTTTGTTATAAGTTAAAGTGTTCTATATGTCCCATCTTATAAAGTGCATTGTGTATTATTCATAATATTCTAAAACAGGTATATATTCATTACATGCAATATCAACAATAATAATCAGTTTGTACAATCTAATACCTACCAGTCAATTTACATCCTTTTTACACAATCAACCCCAACAGAAGTTTCTAGAACTGTACACCCGCTTCTACTTGCTTGAAAGTCTTCTAAAGGGGGAAGTTTCCTTTTGTGGTTACATTGAAGTTTAATTTGATGTTTGTTGCTGGTCCTACAAAAGGCCCATTAGGCAGCTGCTTATGAAAAAAGGTTTTTCCGGTGTATATATTTGTTGTTTGACTCTTCTAACACTGCAGCTCAAGTTTTCACAGTCCTGCAGGTGAAGCCTGGAGATCTCCCAGTATTACAATTGATCTCCATATTATGGAGATCAGTTCTTCTGGAGAAAATGGCTGCTTTGGAGGGTGGATTGTATGGCATATCCAGCTGAGGCCTCTCCCTTCCCCAAACCCTGCCCTCAGACTCCACCATAAAATCCCCAGGAATTTCCCAGTCTGGAGCTGCAACCACAGCCAGACCTTGACCCAATGAGTCCACTATCAAGGGCCTAAATAGGCCTGGAAAGGGCTCTGCCCCCTCCCTCTGCCTTTTACTGACTAGGGTTGCCAGGTCCTTCCTTGTTGCCAGTAGGGGACTTTGGGGGATGTCCCCAAGGCAATGACATCACGTATAAGCGACATCATCACAGGGTAGCTGCTGGAGCCTCTCCCAGCGCTGGTGGTGCATGTTTGCAAAAACCATTTAATTTTAAATGGTTTTTGCAAGTGGGCACCACACAAGCCTGAACTTCAAGAGGTGAATTTGTCACTTGGAATTCAGGCGCGGATGGCCCACACTTGCAAAAACCATTTATTTGTTATTTTATTTATTTATTTCATTCCATTTCATTGGCACAGAATACCATATAAAACACATAAAAACAGTTTAAACATTTTAAACATTTAAAATAATCAAAGTGCTAACTGAAGCGGCCATTCTTCATTGATACAATGGCATATTTTATGATGTAACACACAACCAGCCACGGCCTGTAGTGCCCAGTCCAGGTCTTCCAGTCTGGAGTTCGACTGGCCATCCAACATCAGATAGAGCTGGGTGTCATCAGAGTACTGGTGACACCCCAACCCATACCTCTGGGCAATCTGGGCAAGGGCATATAGATGTTATATAACATCAGGGAAAGCACGGCCCCTTGAGGCACTCTGCACTCAAGCGGGTGTCTCCTGGACTGCTGTTCCCCTAGCGACACCCTTTGTCCCCAGCCTTGGAGAAAGGAAGCAAGCCATTGCAAGGCGAGCCCTTGAATCCCCATGTCGGTGAGGCGGTGGATCAGCAACTGATGGTTGACTGTGTTGAACGCAGCCGACAAGTCCAACAACAAAAGTGCCGCTGAACCACCCCGATCCAGATTCAGATCCAAAGGGAACCTTCCCTTCAAGTGGTTTTGCAAGCAAGGCCAGGCACTGCACACACCTGAACTCCAAGCAGCAAAGCCCATGAAATCAGAGGATCCCCTGCACCCACCTAGGGACTGGCAAACCTATTACTGACAGAACCAAGCCTGGAAATACTGTGGGTACCTAGCAACAGTCACAAGGGAATCCCTTGCTTAAAGCTACAGGAGCTCCTTTTATCATTTTTGGCTTTTTTAAAACCCCTGATGGGTGTTTTTTTTTAGATTTCACATTTTTCTGCAAACCTAGAGTGTTTTTCAAGTGTATAGATCTGTCTTGCCTGTTCACATTTCCAGTCAACAGATTTAAGTATCCTCAGATTTAGCCAACTTGGCTATTATTAGTATATAGATTATGCAGTCATAGTCGAGTTAGCACCTGTTATCACATTAGCCAAAAATACAATCTAAACAACAAACTATGTGATTAACAGCCTCATGCGATGCACCTGTTGCATGCCTGTACCACTTCAGAATACAGGTGGGGAACCTGAATATTTGAATGCTCCCCAAATTTATTTCTAAAAGCCTTCCTGGATATTAAAAACAAAAGTTTTGGTTTGCTAGAGTGGGATCATAGGAAGGAAGGCAGGAAAAAAAGAATCAGTGCCCAGTCTCACCCAGGCAGCTATCTGTTTTAATAAGTGTAACCCACCTTGTTGCAACTCATCTGTATGAAAGAATGGGTCTCTGAGCATGTGCAGAATTCCTTTTATTCACCAAACAATAGCAAGCCCCTGATCTCTCAATAGAATCTGTGAAGAGAGCTGAAGTAGGCTTGCCAAGTCCCTCCGGGAAACCCCCGCCCCAGAGGCCCGTTACCCGCCACTGGCAGATCGGGCCCCGGGGGGAACCCCACCCCCAAAGCACGCGATGTGCACGTCGCCCGGAGGTGACACAATCGCGTCGGGCACGTTGGGGGCGGGGCCATGGTCATCTGAGGGAAAACTCTACGGTTTCCCCTCAGATGGTCGTGGCCCCGCCAACAGCGTGCCCGGCGTGGATGCATCACTTCCGGGTGACGGGGTTGTGGTGCATGTGTGCTTTGTGCGCACGCTCCCGGAGCAGCACTGGAGTCCCCCACTCCAGCGCCGATCCGACTTGGCAACCCTAAACTGAAGACATAATTCTATGGCTGTCTTAAATTGCTGAACCTCTTCTCTGAAGAGGGCCAAAGGGTTGAGGAGGCATACTATCAAGGTAATCTCAAGGCCTAACACCTCTTACTGAGGGGGGAAATAGATTTTTGGGAGGATCTAAATAAATTTCAGCTCAGGATAATCCTTACATTTAATGCCAAGACTGCAAACAGGTGAAGAGTGTACTCTGAGCATGTACAGTTTCTTTTCTCCCTACAGAGTAACCAAACACACAACCTACTTGCTCATAGGGGCCACATTTCTAGGTTGAAGGTAGTGATTTGCAAGCAGATATATCTGTAGAATCTTCCGTGTTAAAAATTAACACATTGATTAATACCCATCTCCCCTACCCCTTACAGTTCCCAACAGTTTTGAAACCTACCCCATAGTTCTGCCTGGCAGCATCACTTAAGAGAATAATGGTAATTGTGTCAAATCAACCAAAGGCTAAGAGAATGACCATAAGCAAGCAACTTTTCTCCAAACAGCTGGTGGTATGCCGTACTACAGATATATTAGCTTTGGAAACCCTAAAAATACAGGTTTTAGTTGACTTAAGTTTGTAGGTATTTGTGACTCTAAGGCACTGAAATCCAATATAAATAGTAACAAACTACATACTCATATACACATATAAGTACATATACACCCACATACATATGATGAGTCTCTCTAGTACCACTCTGAGCTCTTCTTCAGCCATTCTCCTCCCCCCACCCTTGTTAACTGAAAATGGTAGCTCTTCTCAGTTGATCTGTTTATGGAGGAATTCAGGATCACATAGTTCAGTTTCTACATTATTGGCTGCGATCACACGCTCCTTTAGATCCAACATAGGTGCAAATGCCTGAAGGATCTAAAGGGAGTGATCAGACAGCAACATCTGGGAAGCATCCTCCAGTCATCAGCAACCCGTGCTGCTCCACCACAAAAGCGGAGTTAAAAGGCCCCGGTCACACGGGCCGGATATCGTGGGGGGAGGCGTGGCTGTTTGCCACGGAGCGAACTACTGCGCGGCCGCCGGATCATACATCCCGCCGATGTCCCGTGGTTCGAGGGGAGGTCCCGATCATACG